TGAAGTCTCCCTCTATGCTGACGACACTGCACTTGTCGCCCAGTCGTATACTGGTGATCTGGTTCACGATGGGTTGCAGAATGCGGTGGACGAAGTTCTAGAGTGGGTGGAACGGTGGCTGATAAAAATTAATCATTCGAAAACGCAGGCTATTTATTGTACCAAAAAACGTCGCGGCCCCCCAGCAGAGGTTTCTGTAGACGGAAATCGTGTACCATGGACAAATTCTGCTAAGTATCTTGGTGTCACCCTTGATAAAGGCATGACCTGGCAGAAACATGCAGCATCCATAAAAACAAAATTCCAAATTGCGTTTCGGCAACTATATCCTTTGTTATGTAGATCCTCCAAATTGAGTTTGATAAACAAAGTTTGACTATATAAAATGATTATTAGACCAGCCATTACTTATGCATGTGCGGCTTGGTGTTTTCTTGCCAAGACACACATGCAAGTCTTCAAGTGCTGCAAAGCAGAACTTTGCGGACAATTTGCAACGCTCCATGGTATGTCTCAAATGAGACACTACACAGAGACCTTGACATTCCTTACTTGAGGGATTATGTCAAGCTTCAGGCGCAGCGACGTTATAGTCAAGCGTAATCGCACAGCAACTCTCTGTTGCGTGACTCAGTGGACTACACAGTGGAGCAAGTTCGTAAACATTCAAGGCCACGGCTCGCACTGTAATCAAAAGTTAGCGTGAGTCTTTAGTAAACTCAAAATTACACTCTAACAAAACCGAATCAAAAATTTGTTTAGTTCACCTCAAAATTAATCCGTGTACCAAGTCATAAAGCCTAGGTGTTTCTTCTTAAACTAAGCATATCTGTTTTTCTTTGCTCTTCTCCTTTTTTCTTCTCTTTCCCTTTCTCCTTTTCCTTGACTTTGTCTGGTTTCTGGGCAACCAGGACTGACAGATTCGACTAACGTACATCAGACAGTGACTAATGGGCAAAGGTCCTACGGACCGCCCAGACAAATAAATGACGAATAGTAGGGGTTAATATTAAAGTCCAGTGACTCTAAAAGAGAGGTGAAGCATACTTTTGTTCCGTAACTTTGACCTAGGGATGTTACGGAAGTTATGATACCGGAACCAAATTTGGAATTGTGGGTTTTGAATTTTGCTTATCGGTATCGGAACCGGAACCGAAATAGGAAGCGCAGGCTGAAGAAAGGTGTGCGAAGAGAAAGCAGGTTCAATAAGATAAAATTATACACGGTGCGGCAGAGAGGATGGACGGTTTTAAAAAAATCTTAAAATAGTTAATTTTTACTCGAAAACAAATTTATTTATGGAATCAGGTTCAAAAGGAAATAGCATTTGAGACAGTCAAGTGTGAAAAATCACATCAGGCATGTGGTGGCCGAAATCGTTGCTGGAGGCGTTCTTGGAAGTTTGCGTAGACTCTCTCCAACATCGCTCTCTCAACTTGGGCGACTTCCTCGCGAATTTCGCCCTTCAATTCGTCCAGAGTTCGGGGCTTGTTCGCGTATACTCTAGCCTTGAGGTGTCCCTATAAGAAAAAATCGCATATGGATAAATCTGGGGACCGAGGAGGCCAATGAACATTGCCAAACCTGGAAATAAGGCGACCAGGGAAGAGAGAGCGAAAAGCGACCATGGATGCTCGGGCTGTGTGGGCGATCGCCCCATCCTGCTGGAACCACACACGTCGGATTGGAACACGTCGCCGCCGCCGTCGTAATTCAGGGAGAAAGAAGTTGGTGATCATGTCGACGTAGCACTCTGAGTTCACGGTAACAACACGACCATTACCGTCTTCGAAGAAGTAAGGGCCAATGATGCAAGTTTGCGATACAGCGCACCAAACCATTACTTTTGGGCTGTGCAGCGGTCTTTCGTGTAACTGTTGCGGATTTTCATTAGCCCAATAACGACAATTCTGCTGGCTAACTATGCTGTTTAGGTGAAAGTAGGCTTCGTCACTCATAAACAAAATGAGGTTCTCATTTTGATCGATGAGTGCTTCCATCTCACGTGCGAAGTTCATTCGTTTTGCATAATCTCCGGGCTGTAACTGTTGCACAATGGCCAATTTGTAGGGGTGAAAGCGGAGATCCATATGCAAAATTCGCCTTACCGAACGATCACTAAGGCGAAATGCAGCAGCATGTTTCCGGGCAGATCGATTCGGACTGCGAAGAAAGACCTGTCGAACGCGTTCAACATTTTCAGGAGTTCGAACTGTACGCGGCGCTCCTCTTGGTCTTCTGTTGATCAGTTCACCACGCCTGCGAAGTGATTCAACCCAACGAAGGATGGTGTTTCGAGAGGGAACGAAACAATCATAGGCGAAAACGCGGTGCTCCACCGTCCAAGGCTCCATAACGACAACTGGTAAAATAATGCTAGGATCTCACGAGTCAAACGGCACCGAGTACTACCCATCCCAAAAACGTCCGTCCTCTCTGCCGCACCCTGTACATACATTGTAACTAAGCCTTTTTAATAGCAGCTCAAAAAATGAACAAGTTGTCTAGTAACAGCAAGTTAAATAAATTAAATACAATGTGTGTAGTAGTGCATTAAATCGAATCAGTGACTCTAAAAGAAGCAAGTTATACTTCGTGAATTAAAACTTTGTAGGCTTACCTATTTTTAGTCTATTTTTTAACTGGATTTTGCCAGCACCGCTAAAAAGTTGTTCGATTTCTAGTGAGCTTGGTGGACACGACAAATATTGGCGGACATCGAATTGGCTTCAAACTTTCCACCAAAATAATAGAAACACGGTTTTCTATCCTGTACTATTTAAGTAGATGCTTCCTGTAGTATTCGAATACCAGTCAAATGTTTTCTGCATGGGATTCAAAACACCGAGTATTCGAATAGTACCGAAGTTTCCCTGGGGTGAAATGTAAGGAATAAACCTTTAAAAGTATTTTCTTTCTCTTCTACGTCGTTTCATTTCTATGTATGTTAACCAAGTACAAATAATTTCTTCCATATCCATTCTCCTTGACTAAACATGATAAACTGAAAGTCGGTTACCTAGTCCACTCTACACAGGGTCTTCCTTAATGATATGCGAATATTTAAGGGTGTGAATTTACATGAAAAATTAATGTTAGTTTGCTTGATAGACTGTGGTTCAAGAATGTTTCCTTACAAAAACTCGGGGTGTTGAAGTTTTAGGAAAAAAATGGAAATTAATTAATATTTTCAGAACCGCTTCAAATATTTCACTGATATTTAGTATGTAGTGAAGGTTAATAAAGTTGCATATTGTTCAATGCAAAAATAATTTTTAGCTTTAACAGTGGCGTGCGTACGGGTATTGACTTCGATATTGTTTAAGAAAAAAATAGTACGCTAATGTTTTTCTGCCAGGTAAAAAATATTTTTGAATACCCCGTTCAATTTAAAACAAATGATCTCTCTTGAGTTGCTATCCTTTGATGCGCCATTTTCAATTAAAAAAATAAAAACCGTTCTATTGTCTAACTTGCAAAAATATCATTAATTTAATTGGAAAAATTAAACACATTAGGGGTAATGAACGACAGCAACTGACAACATAAACATGACATTAAAACCAACGAAATGATTACAAAAATTGTTGAAAATGGCCCCCTTCACTTAGTATGCATACTTCCGTCCTCCTTCTCATGGAATTGCGCACTAGTTGAAATATCCCTGGAGTGTTTTTTATTATCACAAGCTGCAACTATTCTTTCTCTTGATTACTCTACAGTGTTAAAGGGACTTGTGGAAACTAGTGTCTTAAGATAGCCCCACATAAAGAAATTTAAACTGTTGAGGTCTGGGGACCTTGGTGGCTATTCTTGAGGCTCACCGCGGCCAATCCAATGATTTGGATAAACAGTTTGTAAACAATTACGAACCGCTACACTGAAAGGCGCTGGTGCACCATCATGCATGTAATATATATTGTTTCTTATTACTAACGGAACATCATCAAGCAGCAAAGGCAACTGTTGTTGAAGAAAATTGAGGTAAGTCTGTCCGTCAAGTTGTCCCGGCAAGAAGAATGGGCCAATAAAGTGCTTGCCAATAATTCCTGCCCATACGTTAACCAAAAATTGGTGTTGGAAATTGGTTTCGGTTACGGCATAGGGATTTTCTTCCGTCCACAAATGATTATTGTGGAAATTCTGAATGGCATTTCTAGAAAAATTAGCTTCGTCCGTGAACAGAAGCATTGATTCAAATTGGGGATTTTGTGTAATTTTTTGAAGATACCACTGAAAAAAGGTCACACGCCTTGGAAAATCAATGGGAAGTAATGTCTCTACTCTTAAAATATGGTCAGGATATAACAAAAAATCCACTAAACTTATTTAAGTGTCTAGCGATCTCGTACTCGTTTCAGGATGTTCTTCGACTTCGTGCAGCACTGCTTCCTCAATTTCAGGCGTTCTCACATTTAGAGGTCTACCTTCAGATGTTCCATTTCGGACAGAACCAGTTTCAACAAGACGACGATGAATATTAGAAAAGGTTCGACTATCTGGCAGAGCACGATCGGGATATCTCTGGTGATAAATCCGTCTGGCTTGCTCACCATTACCGTCGGCAAGGCCATATACGTAATGCATTTCCGCCATCTCTGCATTTGAATGATTCACCATTATTAACAAGATTATAAAAACTAAATAATGAAAAAGATGTCACAGCGAACAGATTTTAATAACAGAGACTTGTCAGATGTCAAAAACCAGTGACATATTCCAGAGCAACTATATATTTATTGCTAAGTTGCATTCTTCATTTATTATCATTAAGGAACACCCTGTATAAAATTTGTGCGCGTGCCATCTGAACACCGACCCAACAAACATCTGATCAAAGCTTAAACAAATCTTTTTTCTCCAGGGTCTACATACCAACATGGTTACCAAGAAACGCTGTCACGTTATTGGAAGACTTCGCTTGTGTTGCAGCCCTTGCTTGCTTCATATGCTTCGACGTACTGATAAGAACCTTTTTGAAACTTTTGCAGATGCAGTTCAAAATGTTGAACGATGAGTTCGCTGCTATTTACAAGAATAGCGAACGATTCAGCATTGAAGTTCTCAATTACAAACTACAGAGATGTGTTGATCATCACAACTATTTGAACAGGTAATGTACACGATGCGTACCTATATCTTTAGCGCAAAGTAAAATTGATGATTCTTACTCAAAAATGTTAAAAGAGAATTTGAAAATTGCCATCATACGTAAACGTGGAGGCTGTGGTTTTTTTGTACTTTCTATGTAAGCCAATTGAAGGGTACCGGGGAATAATGACAATAGTCCATCTGGACTGATTTTGAGAAAATCGGTAATTAAGGTTTACTTACTTGTTGGAAAGTAAAATTGATGAAAAAATAAGTCGTAAAGAATATCTTTGCTAAACAGTGTGTTTATTGGTATAATAGATTTTACAAAATGAAGTTTTATTCAAAGCTAGTAACGTAACAAACAAAAGATGACGTTCAACTCTGGACTCGTGCCACATTTCCCCTGCTTGACCCGCCAATAGACGCTTACTATTGGCGGGTCATCGACAGATCCATCTCTGCTGTCTTCTGGATGATCAAGAGATATTAACTGTTGATAAAATGCCGTGGAATCTGCTCTCTCCAGAAATTTGGTCAGATCAAGCAGATCCTTCCATTTCTTACTTTTAATTGGGATTGGGCCCTGGTAAAGTTTTCTCAATGGTTCCTCTTCTCGTTTTTGTTGATCTTTTTGCATCTTTTTTAGATTCTTCCGAATTACCTTATCAAATTTAGAACTAGCATATAGGCCCATGTATGTCGATTTGTGAAAACGTACGCGAGGATTCTGTTTACAGAACTTGAGCATCCTGACTAGTGGGGTTGGATAAAACGGCAATAAAAACGTATACTTTATCTGAAGTCACTTGAAATAGCATAAAAACCTTTGGTCGGCGCGTCCTTTGTAATTTCATGACGTATCATAGGCGTGCGGTCATTTATTTAGAACGATAATAATAATGTTTTTATATCACAATAAATGGATTTTACTATCTTATTATTTTTTTGATTTGGGATAAAAAATACTTATATTGGGAGTTTAATTTATGTTGACTGAAAGTTAAGAAATGGAAAAATTACAGAATTCCAACGTTTGACATAGGCAAATATTTACATAGCAGGTAGGTATATAAAAAGGTAGATAAAGACTTACATTATAGGTATTTATATATCATCCTCGCCTTCGGAGCTGTCGCTAGAGTCATCTTGTAGAGGAATTACAACGGGATTTACAGGAGGCAAAACACAATATTCATTTTCTTTTTCAATAATATGCCTAGAACACTGCTTCCATAGGTCTGTGGCAGCAATATGAGATTCTGCATCTCTTATTGGGGCCAATAGCGATTCACTTAATTGAGGGGTCTGATTATGTTTTGTTACTTTTTTCTTTAAAGCAGCTCAGACCAACTCAATCGGGTTAAAAATGCAGTAATAGGGAGGTAGACGTAATACTTCATGGCCATTTTGCTGAAGCAGATTGTCAACAACATACTCTTTTTCAAATTTTTGTCTTTTAATAAGATCCAATAATATGGCTTTGGTTGATTTTTGTGGTATTTCCATTCCCTTATCCTTCATAAAACCAATAATGTCTTGTTTTTTTGTGCCTGTATTCGGAATTTTGTTTTTCTGTCGGGAATGGTATGGCGCATTGTCCATAATAATCACTGAATTTGGGGAAATGTATGGTATTAACTGCTGCTCTATCCACTTTTCAAATAAGTCGGAGGTCATGTCCTCAAGATAGTCGGCACATGATTCTTTGATATTTTTGGCAGATAACAGCAAGGCATTAGGTATAAATCCATTTTCACTGCCAGCATGGAGAATAATGATTCGTTTTCCACGGTTGCATGGTGCATTTAAAATGCACTTGTTGCTGTCGTCAACCCAGCCGTACTGCACAACATCATGGGTATCACACCACGTTTCATCCAGGTAAATCAGATTTCTTTTCTGCTCTCTATAGATTTTAACTTTGTGCAAAAATTCTTGGCGATATTCAACGATTCGAGACGACTCCATAATCACCATTCTTTTATCTAATTTTTTGTATTGAAAACCACACAGTTTTACAATACAGTGCAGTGAGTCTAAGCATTTGTAATTATAAAAATCTTCAGGATAATCTTTTAATGTATCCCGTATCATTTCCAACGTGGGCACCAAATTTTCTTTATAAAATCCGTATATTATACGACGAATATCTTCCTGATAACCCACGTCTATTCTTTTTAATTTTTGCCCTATGCGCTTTCTGTGGAAGGAATGGTTGACTACGTCTCCCCTTTTATAACCCGATAAATGGTAGACCGACTGATTTTTGTCAGGATACAAATTCTGTTTAAAATTTGATTTTGCGAGGAATCTGGATTTTCGTTTTTCAGACAATCATACATATTTAGGATTACTCTGTGGGTCTGTTCCTCTAAATCTTTATGAAAGAATTCTGCCTGCACAGGTTCATCAACCATCTCCTCGTGGCTTGGAGCATTTTTCCAAGGTCTCCAAAGAGCCATATTTAGGACACACAAGAACAATCAACACAACAATTAAATCAACAAGTAAACTGAGTATTCAAAAGTCAAAAACACACAAACTAATAAAATCTATGAAGAAACACGGACAGACTAAAGAAAACACGTTTATTCACCGCTACACGGCACTGGCTAAACTGTTTCAATTTTCAGTAGCCACCTGCACTTGTTCGGAGCTCTGAAATACACGCTTTCTCATTGGCTATGTCCACGCATAGGCGTGCTTTACTCCACGTGGACCGGTGAAACTGCCTTTGATCTTATACGGGGGATATTTGCTGCGAAATTTGGCGATTTTTGCAGCAACAGAGCGTGTTAAATATAGATATATAAAGCGCACCCGGTATTTCACAGTGTTTCAAGTGACTTCAGATAAAGTTGAAAATCAAAATTTTTGCCGCTATCAATGACTTCAAATGGTGTAGGTTTCACACGGCAACTTTTCAATTCATCTCTCCAGTCATCCGGTACCTCAATGTATGCTCTTTGGTTCAAGAGACTCATATCTCTATCACACTCGAGGTATAAATTCCCCCTGATCGGGAATATTACTTTCACAGTAAGAAAACAATTTTCTTGGTAGCCAAGTAATGCAAAAACCGAATTACTGTGAAGTTTTTATTTTGCCCTGCACAGGAGTCACAGAAAATGGCAAGTTCGTTTACTTCCATAGGCAGGATGTTATAAAAAAAGTGATACAGCATAGAACAGACATCGTCAGCTCCTTTCTAAGCAATAGATTCATCGTAGGTATCAAAGTTAGAATTTGAGTTTGACAGAATGTAGATGATGAAATTTAGTTGCCGCTTATAGTAAACATCATTTGTCGTAATATTTGGACAGGGCAAGTTTTTTGGTAATCCATCGTGACACTTTCGATAGCGGGGAACTTCGAGGTACGTTTGCGGTAAGTTCTCTTAAGACTGCAAAACCGCTCACTCACTTTTTTGCGTTTTTTCGTTTCTCTGTTTCATGGGCTTGGTTCATTTTCACTTGAAACTGAATAGTCACTATCCATTATACACAAAACCCGTATTGTAAATTAAATAAGCGAAAATAGTCAATATTCAAAATCTCCGGATATACAACACACGTGGACTCTAATACAGGGTGCGGCAGAGAGAACGGACGTTTTTGGGATGGGTAGTACTCTTTTCACCTATGATTGTTTCGTCCGAAATAATGAGTCAGTCATCGTCGTACAGCGTGAGTTTCGTCGCCACTTGAACATTCATCGGAATAGAGCTGTTCCACCACCTTCGTTGGGTTGAATCACTTCGCAGGCGTGGTGAACTGATCAACAGAAGACCAAGAGGAGCGCCGCGAACAGTTCGAACTCCTGAAAATGTTGAACGCGTTGGACAGGTCTATCTTCGCAGTCCGACTCGATCTGCCCGGAAACATGCTGCTGCACTTCGCCTTAGTGATCGTTCAGTAAGGCGAAAACCGTCCATCCTCTCTGCCGCACCCTATAGTAAACTAAAGTCTGATGCAATAACGAAGCTCCCAAGCGGTACGACCGATGCAACGCCGCCTTTCCATATGGACTGATGCCGTTTTTCCATAGACGCGCAGGGACTCATGCCATTCTTCCGCGGTACAGGGAACCTTATACCTGTTGTTTTGTGAACCTAAGCACTTTTTACAATCTAAGAAGCTGATTACAAGATAGCATCAGGAAAATGCCACCAAAATAAACTGAAAGCTCAATTCAGCCAAATAATGGACTAATGCCGTTTCTCCCCGGTACCCTTCATTTGCATACCGATAAAAAAACAAAATTTCGTCTTTTCCATTTTTTCGATTCGTTTTTTTAATTTCATAGCTATAACAAGTGAATATCACCCAAACTAACCTATCGTGTCGATTTTTGGCGACGTGAGGGGCGGATCTTACACCCTGGATTTTAGGATTCTTATGCTTATTTTGTTTCAGTTTCTTGAACTTGTTCAGTGAAACCTTTTCGTTGGCGATAATGATATTTATAGGAAACATTACATTGTCCCTTTGCGTTGTTATGTACGCAATCCTCGCAGAGTGAGTATGTCAGTTACATTATTTTAAAACATACTAATAAGAAACTATTGGTGTTTACGATGTCTTCATTCTTATTTAATAATAACATCGGCAATAGAAAAAGAAAGACTATATAATGTAATGAAACTAACGCCAACTAGAGAGAATACCGACTGCTGCAACCAATATAAAAATAAATTTATAGAGCTTGCAAGGCAAATCAAACGAAAACATTACCTAAATAAATTGAATAATAACTTAAATGATCCTAAGCGGCTTTGGACAACTATTGATGAGATTACTGGGAAAACAAAATTTAAAGAGTGTCACTGAGTTAAATACAACATCGGGAATAGTATTAAAAAATACTCAACAGATATGCGATGAATTTGTACAATTCTTTACTGACATAGGCGAAAATTTAGCAACTAATATACAAGCAAATGTACAAAATACTCAGCCTCCAAAAAGAACTTTGAACTCATTTATTTTGGATAAAGTCGAGCAATGTGAAGTATACACCACTGTTATGTCCTTAAAAAATCGGAAAAGTCCTGGGTTCGATGGTATTAAAAGCGAGCATTTGAAAATTATAGCCGGGGACATAACAGAACCACTCACTTACCTAATCAACAAATGCTTTGAATCTGGCATATATCCCTCAATTTTAAAAAAAGGTAGTATAATACCGATACATAAATCAGGAACAAAAACAGATGTTAACAACTATAGACCAATATCAATAATATCCAGTGTAGCAAAGGTTTTTGAAAAAGTTTTATCTACTAGAATGATTCGATACCTCACAAAATTCAAAATTTTAAGTGAAAATCAATATGGATTTACAGAAGGGAAGGCTACATCGGACGCAATAACTAAAATTGTAAATCAAATACATCAAAATATTGATAACAGAATCCCTTCTATCTGCATTTTTGTTGATTTAAAGAAAGTTTTCGATACAGTTATCACAAATTATTATTAGAAGCATTGGAGAGAATTGGTTTCAGAGGAAACGCGTACTCACTGATCGAAAGTTATTTGTCAAATCGCCCACAATCTGTGCAGATATTAGGATCATTTAGTAAAGAAATATATATTAAGTGTGGTGTCCCACAAGGAACTGTCTTAGGCCCGCTGCTATTCAATATATATTTAAATGATATTTTCCAAATTCATTGTGTTGGCAAAATAAATAGTTTTGCAGATGATACTGCAATATTATATGAAGGCACTGACTGGTCTGATCTGAACAATGTAATTGAAAATGATTTTATCAAAATTATTCGGTGGTTTAACAGTAGAAAATTAAGCATTAACTACTCTAAAACACATTTTTTACCATTTGGATCTTATGCTAGACATCTGCCAAATTACACAAATTTCTCCTTCAACATTAATGATCAAAAAATGCAAATTAATAGAGTGCCCAACATAAAATACCTTGGAGTAGTCTTGGATCCTCACTTACGATGGGACATCCATGTCAATTATATTTTAAAGAAAGTTAGATTTGTATCCTACAAAATTAAATACCTTGGGAATATATTGACAGAAAAATATCTTCGAACATTATACCATGCACTGATTGAGCCTCATCTCACATATGGTATATTAGCATGGGGAGCTGCATGTTCCTCACATATCTATAATTTAGAGGTTTTTCAAAAAAGTGTTCTAAAAATGATATTTAAAAAACCGAAACTTTATCCCACTGAAAAATTATACGCAGATGTTCGAATGTATGATATAAGACAGCTTTATTTCTTACACAGTATCACTCACTACCATAAATTTGTAAACACCGACCAAAAAATTAAACATAATCATTATACCAGATACAAAATTCGTGGCACAGTAGTTCCTCAACCGCATAAATCTATAATGCAGCGATCATATCTCTATTTAGCGCCTAAATTTTATGAAATTATACCTAAAGACTTAAAAGATTTACGTTTCGGAAATTGTTTCAAAAGAAATTTAAAAAAGTGGCTATATTCTATATCTAGGACTGAAATTCATAAACTCATAATCTACTGTAGCCAATTTTTGTCCTTTTTTGTCATTTGCATTCTACAGTTTCAACTTAAATTATTGGTAAATGTACAGGCGATGCCTTCTATTGGGCTTGTTTTGATTTTATATTTATTTACTCATATTGTTTGTTATCTTTGCACATTGAGTGAATAAATATTATTATTATTATTATTATTATTATTATTTGAGGCTAGGCAGACCACACACGCTGCTCATGCTAATAGTTGCTGTATACAGATCACGAGTATGTCCACCTTAAGGTCATGTAATAACGTAAAGAACTCGAATTGAAAATTGTGTGTAGTGAGTTTACTTTTAATTTGATAAGATCTTTACATAGTACGATACTTGTTTCAGGAGTTTCAACATAAATCACTGTACACATCTGATTGCTGGCTTAAATATGATATTTACCTGCTATGCTTGGCCTGCACAGGAAATGATGAACGAGGTAGCTAATATTTTTTCTTAAGCGCATCAAGCTTAAGACTTTTTTCACTAGCACCAGCACTTATATTTCTCTTATGTCGATGGTGTTATTACAGTTATGGTAACCCATAAAGCGAAATAGAACTATGGATCAGACTCTTTTGATGACCAATTAGAAAGCTTCCTGTATGCAATGTTTGTCTGGTCACTGAATGAAACCACATAGGTTTTACTAACGTTTCGGTCACCATAGTGTTAAGTTTATTTTCAGAAAAGACTCTGTATTTCTATATGTTTTCAGGCAAACGCAGTAAGAAACTCCGTATACCTCAGTGATTGGCACCTTTATGGAGAACATCATAAACACATATTGATAGTTTTGATGGGCTCTCTGAAGACTATAGAATTTAAAGCTGGAGGAATTTTGACGATAGACATGAATATGTTCTTGGCGGTAATGCAAGCTTAATAATACTTAAACCTTGAATAATTGATTGCTAATAATAATAGCAATAACAATTTATAATTCATGGTTATAATACTGTCCAACGAATATCTACTTAAAATTATATCAGTGTTTGTGTAGCAGCTCTAGTTTATATGAGATTTTTCAAGTTAGGCTCGTGAATATAGATCTTCTAAGAGTACGATATCCTTGGAATTGAGGAGGCAGCAGCGGTGGCCGCAGTAGTAGACTCTTCGGTCCCCTGATCAGTCGCCGTGTGCTGTGCGGGTTCGAGTCCCGTCCCAGGAGAAATTTTTCTCTTGGCTATGGATGTTGTGATTGTCCGTAGGTGGTAGACGGTCTCTGACAGTCGAACGTGGAGGTACCACCCGGCGGTTCTCGTAGGCGGAGCCAGAATATGTGCATGTTGCATGCACATGTGTTCCCTCGCCAGAGTCCGTGTGGCGTTCCCCCTTTCCCCTGTATCCCCCTATAGCCCCACGGTACCCAATGGGTGCTTAGGCCTCAGGCCTTCGTGGTAGTTGGATTATAAAAAAAATATATCGAAAGAGATTTAAGTGCCCCAAATACTCTCAAGCGCATCTCCTGCGTATACCAAGATACTGTCACCAACATTATCGTTGTAAACGCTGCTGTAAAGGACAAGTGGCCATACTCAAAGATGTATTCTGCTCAGCGCCATCTTACACACTTTGTGGTCAAATGGTCAGTGACAGAATCATCGACATCATCAACATGTTTTAAATCCGACAATACGGAAACTCAAAAGGAAACATGTGGAACTGCATCTGTCCTGGACTGAGCAAAGATAAGTTGAAAGCAAGCGTTTACAATGGACCAGAAATCAACAGGTGATAAAATGTTGTCGAATTTGTGAACGGAAAGTAAACCTGAAAGCCTCTCGTTTCGCTGATCCACATCGCTTGGAACCATGAATCAAAAAACTGTACAATTAGTTAACGATATGTCTAATTTAAAACATCTAGGCTGGACCAGAGTAACTGTTCAAAATAAAATGCGTGAAAAGTCATATTTGTGTCAGATGCATTGACATTCAAAACTAGAGCTGCTAGAAAAAACATTCTGGAAAATTTTTCAATGTTGATCACTGTCCAAAATTGCAACCTATTTATTTATTATCTTTCATTTTATTATACCCAAAAGCTGTCTTCTTACTTCCATGAACATTGTGAAGGGAAATTTACAGATATTGCCTTTTTTTACAGTCATGCAAGACGATGGTTTCTTACTGCATGTTTTTCCGAACCATCAGCCTGACGGATTAATACAGCTATATTTGTAAAATAAGAAACTGTTGAAACAGGCACTGTTAAAGGCTAAATAAATAATACACACAGATTCCGTAGTTTTTATAAATGAAACCCTATAACAGTAAATATACTAAGTGACATATAAATCTGAACACCCAGTTTAAATGTTTTTTTTTAATAAAAGTTGGTGAACGTATTTATCTTATTGTAAATAACAAGTGAAAAAATGTTCAGCCTTATCAGTTGGACATTCCGGTTTTTATACGCTCTAAAAATGAATATTTCAGCCGCAGTAAAGAATCAACGTTGTACGGATTTTGGTTCTTGACATCCTTTACGATCGGTTACGATGCCTAGAGTACGGAGACCTGTACGATTTCGTCAACTTAGTGAGTTTGATAGGGGCCGTATAGTGGGACTTCGGGAAGCTGGACTTTCTTTTCGAGCAATTGCAGTTAGAGTGCAAAGAAGTGTAGACACTGTGGTTAGGTGTTGTCAGGCATGGCTTCGAGAAGGCCGTACGCAAAGAGCAAGGGGCACTGGACGCCGCCGTAGAACAACAGACCGTGAAGATCGCCGCCTAAGATTATTGGCCTTAAGGGACCGTTTCTCCACTACCAGGTCCATTGCCAATGAATGGTTTGCAGAACACGGAAGACCTATTGGCATGCAAAGTGTTTACCGACGAATGAGAAGTTTTGGCTTGTTTTCATACCGGCCACACTGGGTCCTCCCTTTAACTCGAGAACACCGACGTAATCGCCTTGAGTGGTGCAGACAACGGTCACTCTGGGATCAGGAATGGAACAGTATTGTCTTATATATAGCTTATGGTTCCAGGTCACCTTTAATCTTCATCAGAGGTAACATGAACGCGCAGCGTTATATCCACGAAGTTCTAGAACCCCATCTTTTACCCTATCTTGACACCCTGGCAGATCCAACTTTCCAACAAGATAATGCCCGACTATATGTTGTAAGAGTCACAATAGACTTCTTTCAACATAATGATGTCACATTGTTACCATGGCCACCAAGATCTCCCGACTTATCCCCAATTGAGCACGTGTGGGATATGATGGGTAGGAGATTGCTCAATTTGCAACGTCCTCCTCAGACTCTAGAAGCACTTCGAGAGGAGTTGGTGGTTGCCTGGAATGAGATACCACAGGAGGACATTGACCACCTGATCAGAAGCATGCCTAGGCGCGTTGGAGCATGCGTAGCACATCAGGGTGCATCCACACATTACTAAAAGTCAAAGGGATTTAAAGCAGTGCAATCATTTTGAAATGTTTATCATTTGCTTATTATGCTTCATTAAGTACTTATACAAAATTTTATTAAAATAAAACCATTTAAACTGGGTGTTCGGATTTATATGTCACTTAGTATAGTTAAGAAAAACTGAAAAACACGCTTTTATAGTTAACCGTTAAAAAGTAGAAAATAATTGTTGATTACAAAGAGTTTATATTAGAGTAGCAGGTGGTCGAGCAATCAATCGTAATTAATAACCTCATAATTAAATTATAATAAAATTTAAGTTATTAACAGAATAACTTAATTCAGAGTAAAAAGCTAGCTAATGTACGTATTTTGGGTCGCTAAGACCGAATCCGAAGTCGTTTCACGTGTACCTGATCCCGTTTATCCTGTAGATCTAATTATTTAGCGAAACATTCCAAAACATGCGTTATTTGCGACATTAAGGTTCTAAAAATCCATTTTTATTATCGATAGCTACATCTGAGCGAAGGCTTTGTTCAATAAGGTAATTTCGGACGCTGAATAGGAGCATTAAAGTGGAAAAATTCTAATGTGTCATCTGACCGGATTTGGGGTGAAAAATTGCTAAAAAACTAGTGGTTCGGGGCTACCCGTGCATCCTAGCACTGAATTGACATCGAATTTGGAATCTAAGCGCGATCTACCTTGAACAAAAACTTACACCCACATTATTTTTGAAGATTTTTCTTCAGTCATTTTTGAGAAATTGAATTCTTTCTTCTTCTGAGAATGGGTCCCGGACTCGACTTCAGCGGCCCAAAAAAAAAAAAAAACATATTATAAGCGTGGTTGGGCCTGCGTTCTCGACAGAGCCATTTATTGCTCTTTTTGTAACAATTCATGGTTGCTTAATATTAAACTGCTTTAAATGAGGTTCAAATGACATCTATCGTAACTATTTCACATGTATCTGATCTCATTCATCATATACATTCTATTATTTAGTGAAACATCACGAAACTATGTACATTTGCGATTTTAGGGTGTTAACAACCCGTTTTTTTATCGGTTGCTACGAGGGATGTCTCTTAAGTTTTGCATATAGAAACATAGTAGGCCGCGCGGATCGAACGCCAGTACTGAATCTTGACCTCACCCTTTAGTAAACTTAAATTCAAAGTTTCACAACCATACGTGCAGTGTTCTCACTACAGTGAATTTTTAAGAGTCAACAAATACTACTACCGTGTTGTTTTATTTCCATATGCAAAACTTAAAAGACATCCCTCGTTTATGCGAACGATACTGGGTAGATTCAGATAATTTGCGGCACTGCATATAAATATCGTTGTGAAATAAGGTACAAACTTTACGAGGCAATTAGATTCTCAGGAAGGGCGGAGCAGGGGCCTTTATGACTGTTTTGATCCATTGAATTCCTCTGTTATACATGTTTGCAGTGAACTTCTTTTAAGGGGGTCTAACTTACTGAACGGGATGTGCAATGTAAGCCTGCTTTTCTCCATCAGAGGATACTGAATCTTATTTACAAAGTACCATCAGGTCGTCCAAAATATTTTCTTTTTCGCGCTAAATCTGCTCCATCCCCCCATTCAACAGTTACATCGGGGATGATCTTTTTTCATCCTTCGGTATATCATACAGACAAAGTGTAAAATCAAAAACTGTAGAAATTATCGTTCCCTTCACTTAGACAAAAGCACTCCCTATTAATCATGGGATACACCCATAACACTACGCTAAATGTTATGAAAAATTCATGACAAATCCAGATTTCATACGATACCACTACAAGATTACAGGCTAGAATTTTCGTCACACAAATTGCTTAATATCGAGGAACTAATATAGACATTTCTGTCATTCAACTTTCTGTAGCCGTAAAGGACACTCGCAATGTATTACCCTGATCTGGAGTGGTTCCTGAGGCTTGCGAACTTACTGGGGGTTCATCCAGAAAAGAAGGGTAGCATTATCCAAATGCTGCTCTACACGGCTATCCTGTGCAGTTGTCTGTCCATTCCAGGACTGACGGTCGTGATGCTGAATCGCATGGATCATGTCGGTGTGACAGATATCTTGAGACATTTGTCGAATTTTACAATGTTCATCCACGTGAGTATATAATTCAACCCACAAAAATAGATTCCATCCAGTTTCTTTATGAGAAAACGTGTTTGATACTACATTGGATCCTTTGACTTGTAACTACTGTAAAAAAAAAAATAGAACACCCAGTAAAAATAATTTTATTTAAATGAAATTGTATATACAGTTAGACATGAGCCACAGGAGGCAGTGAATAAATTTTGAAGTAAAAACATTTGCTGTAACCCTGGACTTGCCTTAAAATGTTCCTAAACTAGTTGCATTTGGTTGCGAAAAGCTGATAGCTTTTGAAAAAAATGAAGTAAGGATGCCATTTTCCTTCTCAACATACGAGTATAACATAATATTAATATACTAAGTGACATATAAATCCGAACACCCAGTTTAAATGGTTTTATTTTAATAAAATTTTGTATAAGTACTTAATGAAGCATAATAAGTAAATGATAAAAATTTCAAAATGATTGCACTGCTTTAAAGCCCTTTGACCTTTAATAATGTGTGGATGCACCCTGATGTGCTACGCATTCTCCAACGCGCCTAGGCATGCTTCTGATCAGGTGGTCAATGTCCTCCTATGGTATCTCATTCCAGGCAACCACCAACTCCTCTAGAGCCTGAGGAGGACGTTGCAAATTGAGCAATCTCCTACCCATCATATCCCACACGTGCTCAATTGGGGATATCTCGGGAGATCTTGGTGGCCATGGTAACAATGTGACATCATTATGTTGAAAGAAGTCTATTGTGACTCTTGCAACATGTGGTCGGGCATTATCTTGTTGGAAAGTTGGATATGCCAGGGTGTCAAGATAGGGTAAAAGATGGGGTTCTAGAACTTCGTGGATATAACGCTGCGCGTTCATGTTACCTCTGATGAAGATTAAAGGTGACCTGGAACCATAAGCTGTAGCACCCCAAACCATAACTCCAACAGTGTGATGAACATATCTTTCAACAAAAAACTGTGGATTCCTCCTTTCACCACGTCGCCTTCTAACTCTGGCACGACCATCGTGCATGCCTAAACAAAATCGAGACTCGTCACTAAAGACAATACTGTTCCATTCCTGATCCCAGAGTGACAGTTGTCTGCACCACTCAAGGCGATTACGTCGGTGTTCTCGAGTTAAAGGGAGGACCCAGTGTGGCCGGTATGAAAACAAGCCAAAACTTCTCATTCGTCGGTAAACACTTTGCATGCCAATAGGTCTTCCGTGTTCTGCAAACCATTCATTTGCAATGGACTTGGTAGTGGAGAAACGGTCCCTTAAGGCCAATAATCTTAGGCGGCGATCTTCACGGTCTGTTGTTCTACGGCGGCGTCCAGTGCTCCTTGCTCTTTGCGTACGGCCTTCTCGAAGCCATGCCTGACAACACCTAACTACAGTGTCTACACTTCTTTGCACTCTAACTAAATGCAATCGCCCGAAAAGAAAGTCCAGCTTCCCGAAGTCCCACTATACGGCCCCTATCAAACTCACTAAGTTGACGAAATCGTACAGGTCTCCGTACTCTAGGCACCATAACCGATCGTAAAGGATGTCAAGAACCAAAATGCGCCAACGTTGATTCTTTACTGCGGCTGAAATATTCATTTTTAGAGCGTTAGTGAATTAAAAAAAAGCAGTATAAAAACCGGAATGTCCAACTGATGAGGCTGAAATTTTTTTCACTTGTTATTTACTGTAAGATAAATACATTCACCAACTTTTATTA